GAGCGCCGGCACGGGTCATCGATTGGTCCGACGGTGGTGCGCCCTCGGTCGTCGAGGGCCGTCTGGACATGGCTTGGGTTGGAAGGGTGGTTCTCGAGGTTCTCGAGGTGGATATCCTTTGGCCGCGTTGGGTCGGAAGGCGCCCAGAAACAAGGAAAAGAAAAAGATTGCGATACCGGACCACCCACGGTCGCCTTCGAGGAGTTGAAACCACGCCGTTGCCATCGACTCCCGCGAGAAATTTCTGGCCGGATTTGTGTGTCCCCCTCGACTGGGCTGATATGCTTACGTCCCGGCGAGGGGTCCCGTACCATGCGGAATCGACCCTATCCAGTGCTCAAGTGCTCAAGTGCGAGCGATGGTGGTGGGAAGCCGTCGGGAGATGCAGGGAAGGCGGATGGCGAGGCTCGGCCGGGCGGGCCGGACGGCGAGGCCAGGGGGAGCGTGCGTGACCGAACGGTCGGAGGGCTGCAGTGGCGCGGCGTTGGTGGAGGAAACTGTGACGGCGAAGACACACGGGCGCGAGAGTCGAGAGAGCTGCCGCGGCGACTGTTGTGCGATTTCGATTTTTACAGTTGTACATCGGCGACAATCTGCACACACCCACACTAAGCTCTAAGGGCTAAGGACTTAAGGTGCCGCCACTCAGCACTTCTCAGTCGCGCGTGTCCTCATAGGGCGTTTTTTGGAGAGCCTTTTGCAGGTTGCGCCGCTTCGCTCACCTCAGAACGCACCACATCGTTCCTTCCCTTCGCGCCGTCCGCGGCGCAGGACGAGTCGAACTCGGCCCCGCAAAACTGGGGGTCGCCAGGTTTTTGGTGTTTCGCCAGGCGCAGCGCGATGCTGGCCGTGCTGACGCTGCGGCGCGTGAGCGCTGTGGTCGTCAGCTTCAAAGCCACCGCTGCCGATGCCGAGCAAAGCACGATCAGGCTTCGCCGCTTGGCTAAAGAAGAAATCGACGGGCCGCACTTGGAGCACGCGGCCTGGAGTTGATTTCTTTTCCTCGCGATGTCCTGCCCCGCGGCGCCGCTCGCCCGCCTCCTCGACCTCCCCACGGAGCTCCTCGTGCGCGCCCTCTCTCGCTGCGACCCCGCCGACATCGCTCGCGTCGCGGCCGTCTCGCTGCTCTTCCACGCCTCGCTTGCGCTGGAGGGCATCCGCTTGCGCCTGCAAGAGGCCGGCTACGAGCCGCCGGCGCAGCCAGAGGGCGAGAGCTGCGCCGTGCGGTGGCTGTGCTATTCGGCGCTGCTGCGCGAGGCCAGCCCGCCGGCGAGGGCGGCGGCAGGCACTTACCACAGCCTCTTCATCGACGGCGAGGGGCGGCTCTCGTCGTGCGGCTCGGCGCAGTCCTACCTTCCAGGGCTCCTCGGTCACGGCGAGAATGTGACGCAGCTCAACACGCCGACCCGCCTCCCTTCTCCGCTGGGCGGCGAGCGTGCTGTGAGCGTGTCGGCTGGAGCGTACCACAGCCTCGCCCTCGGCGCCGACGGCTCTGTCTGGAGCTGGGGCGATGGAGGCCTCGGCCAGCTGGGCCACGGCGACCAGCAGGAGCAGCTGGAGCCAAAGAAGATCGAGGCTTTGGCTGGCCAGCGTGTCGTCGCTGTGTCGGCTGGACAGTTCCACAGCATCGCCATCACCGTCGACGGCGCTGTCTGCAGCTGGGGCTATGGATACTTTGGCCGGTTGGGCCACGGCGACCAGGAGAACCAGCTGCTGCCCAAGAAGATCGAGGCCTTTAATGGGCAGCGTGTCGTCGCTGTGTCGGCTGGAACCGCGCACAGCCTCGCCATCACCGTCGACGGCGCTGTCTGCAGCTGGGGCTATGGATACTTTGGCCGGTTGGGCCACGGCGACCAGGAGACCCAGCTGCTGCCCAAGAAGATCGAGGCCTTTAATGGGCAGCGTGTCGTCGCCGTGTCGGCTGGAGATGGGTACAGCTTCGCCATCACCGCCGACGGCGCCGTCTGGAGCTGGGGCAGTGGAATTGGGGGCATGCTGGGCCACGGCGATGGGCAGAACCAGCTGCTGCCCAAGAAAGTTGAGGCGTTTGCTGACCAGCGTGTCGTCGCCGTGTCGGTGGGAATGTCTCACAGCCTCGCCCTCACCGCCGACGGCGCTGTCTGGAGCTGGGGCGATGGAGGCTTTGGCAAGCTGGGCCACGGCGACGAGCAGAACCAGCTGCTGCCGAAGAAGATCGAGGCCTTGGCTGGCCAGCGCGTCGTCGCTGTGTCGGCTGCAGGCTTCCACAGCTTCGCCATCACCGTCGACGGCGCCGTCTTAGCCTGGGGCAGGGGCGAACACGGCTGCCTAGGCCACGGAGAGGACGTGACCAAGCAGCTGCTGCCCAAGAAGATCGAGGGGTGGGCGCAGCCGCAGGATTGACGTCATGAGGACACATGTGGAAAACTGGACATGCTGGATCTCTGTTAGTAGCGCCAGTCCCGTGCTTATTAGTGTTAAAGAAGATAGCTGTGCTAATCCTTGGAGTTTACGTTTCGGACTATGTCGCTGCCCTTGCTGGGGCTGCTTGCCGCCGCTGCCGCCGCCGCCGCCGCGCCTGGCCGAGTAGTTGTAGTAAACCCCGTGCTAGCGGCGCGTGGAGTTCAGATGCTCTCACGACCGGGCTGCACGGGGAGCCGGAAGGCACACACGAACACTGACGCCGCAAAAGGGGCTTGGCCCGAACCGTGGGCTGGCCTGCCTGCCCGGCAAGGCCGAGATACCTGGCTACGAGTGGAGAACCTGACGATCCGGAGCGGCGCAGTCAGGCCCGCTGTGCCCGCTGTGCCCGCTGTGCCCGCTGTGCCCGCTGTGCCCGCTGTGCCCGCTGTGCCCGCTGTGCCCGCTGTGCCCGCTGTGCCCGCTGTGCCCGCTGTGCCCGCTGTGCCCGCTGTGCCCGCTGTGCCCGCTGTGCCCGCAGACAGGTGGTGCTCTGGGCCTGGCCGAGTGGTGGTCGTGGTACACCCCGTGCTAGCGGCGCGTGGAGTTCAGATGCTCGCACGACCGGGCTGCACGGGGAGCCGGAAGGCAACCACTGACGCCGCAAGAGGGGCTTGGCCTGAACCGTGGGTTGGCCTGCCTGCCGAGCACGGCCGAGATACCTGTCTAAGAGTCTCGGCAAGGGATGTGCCCACGTGGTGGGGTTGCCCATGTATGGCGGCTGGCTGGATGGACGAGTGCGCGTTTATGCCCGTGTATGCTCACTGGCTGGGGTTGGCCTTGGTCGCATTGGTGATGGCCGTGGTGTGGGGAGCCGCTGGTGCACGGGGCGTGAGAGGATGGCCAGACCACGGGTGGCTCGCCTGGCGAGGCAGGCCGCCGGGCCTGACCACGGGGAGGCTGGGGCAAACCGGCACCAACACTACCACTGACAGAGAGGACACGAGGGGAACAATACCCAGGAACGGAGCACTCCACTTCGACCCGTCGTGGTACCCGTCCTGGCCCACATGGGGAGCATACGAACTCACGCCCAGCCAGTATGAAAAACGCAAAGAGAGGGAGAGGCGCCGACCAAGTAGGATGAACAGGCGGAGGAGACTTGGACGGAGGGCGCCAAACCACAGGGCACTGACACAGGCGGCGCTACGGCTAATGCCGATCCAAGCCCGAAAACGGCGTGTCCGGGCGTGGTGGCGGGGGCAAAAGCGAAGGGAGATGGACCCACACCTAGCCTTCTATGGCGTGCCGGCATACAGGGAGGGGCGGGAGAGAGCAGGGGCTCGACCTGACGAGGGGAAGGGAGAGGCACAGCCGAGGGCGCCACCTGGGGAGCAGGAGCCAGCAGGAGGAGACGGAGACGGGAAGAGAGAGGGTAGGGGCAGGCCGCAATCTTGGGAAAGGAGACGGAGAAGGCGCGTTGACGCCAGGGGCCTGCTGCAGAGGCTGGATGAGGAGAGGGCAAGGCGGGGGGAGGAACTGCTCACGGATCCCGACCTCGAGCACCTAGGGGTGCCGGCAGACTATGTGTGGCAAATGTCAATACAGGAGTGGAACGCGCTCATGCGTGCGCTGCACGGCAACGGGCGGAACTTGCAAGTCGTGGCCGAGGCGGCGACGGGAGCGGTGCAGAGGTGGATCCAGCTCAATGACGAGGCTACGGCGCGCATAATGAAGAGAGAGGAACACATCGAGTGGCTGAGGAAGCTCTTCGCTGGGTGGAAGGAGGCCCGGCCAGCCTTGAGGGAGTCGCGGAGGAGGAGGGATAATGGAGGTAACGTGGGAACAGGCCAACAGCCAGTGGGACGAACGAGGGCCGCGACGGCGGCTCAAGCGGGAGGGAGCGGAGACGGTGGGCAGAGAGCGAAGTGGGTGAGACTGATGATGCTCCTTCGACTTAGGGAGCGGTTCAGCTGCTGGGCGGGCTTCAGGCTGGTGCTCACGCGAACAGGAATCGACGCGATGTGCAAAGCATACAAGAAGGGGAGAGGGAAGAGGAGAGACGCCGGTGAGGACGAAGCAGAAACTAGCGCAGACGAGAGCAGACGAGACCCGGGGACTGGGGAGCCGGAGCAGACGGCATCGGCCGCCGAGGGAACGTTGGGAAGAGGCACGAGGAGGGCGGCGACCTCGACCGACTATGGAGGACCCGTCGCCAGGCGACGCAGGGCAGAAGACGGTGAGGCGGAGCAGACGCGCAGGGCGAGACGAGGGAGGGAGCAGGACTTTGCGGAGATCAGCAGGAGGATGTACGAAGAGATTAGGAGCAGCAGGGACCCGAGGGACCATGTGGAAGACGGCTAGTGCTAGTCCCCCACCGGGAGGACGACCCCGGCTAGTCGCCGACCACACCCACAAAGAACCCTGCACAAAGATCGCAAGGGCGGGGGCCTGTTCCTTTTTACCCATCTCACAGTAGAGAGGTGTCCGTTTTTATTTATTGCTGCGTGTGCGAGAGAAAAACGGCGTGAACGATGGCGAAGCGGGCTCTCAGTGCTGCCATCGCTACGACGAGCGGCGGCGGCAGCAGCGCTCTGACGGCGACGTCCACCGGCCCCGCATTCTGGCTGATCAAGTCGGAGCCGGCAGACTACTCGATCGCTGCACTGCGCGTCGAGGGGCGGACGGTTTGGGACGGCGTTCGGAACCCGACTGCGCGCAAGCACCTCCGCGCGATGCAGGTCGGTGACCAGTGCCTCTTCTACCACAGCTCGTGCAAACAGATCGGCGTTGTGGGGCTCGCCACCGTGTGTCGGGCGCATTACGCCGACCCGGCTGATCAGGCGTGGGCAGTGGTGGACGTGGAGTACCAGGACACCTACCGCCAGATCATCTCGCTGGATGCCCTCAAGCAGCACAGGGATGGGGCTCTGGCCGGCATGGCTCTCTTCAAGATGTCCCGCCTCTCGGTCCAGCCAGTCTCGCGGCCGCACTTTGACTTCATCGCAACCACGCTCGTGCCGAGCGAGGGGCCCGTGACCAACCCATTCCACGCGGACTTCGAGGACGACGGCGGCCTTCAGAAGAAGGCGAGGCGGTGACACGGACCCCGCCAATTCATCTCTCTCTCTCTCTCTCTCTCTCTCTCTCTCTCTCTCTCTCTCTCTCTCTCTCTCTCTCTCTCTCTCTCTCTCTCTCTCTCTCTCTCTCTCCCTCTCTCTCTCTCTCTCGCGCGCGCGTGATACGCACGCTAGCTCTTGTACGGTATGCGTTCGAGTATATGGGGCGAGTTTTTGTTTACTAGCTGTAAAAGAAGTTTGAATTCTTGCTTCAAATTCTTTTTCCTGGCGATCACATCAGGGAGCTTAGGTATGTCCCCACAACGCCGCTCGCGCCGCCTCGCCGCCGCCGCCGCCGCCGCCGCCGCACACTGCCCCCTCACCGACCTGCCCACGGAGCTCCTCGCGCGCGTCATCTCCCGCTGCGACCCCGCCGACATCGCTCGCATCGCGGCCGTCTCGCTGCTCTTCCACGCCTCGCTTGCGCTGGAGGCCATCCGCTTGTGGGCGCAAGAGCGCGGCTTCGAGCTGCCAGCGCAGCCAGAGGGCGAGAGCTGCGCCGTGCGGTGGCTGTGCGTTTATGCCTTGCTGCGCGAGTTCAACCCGCCGGCGAGGGCGGCGGCAGGCCTGTACCACAGCCTCTTCATCGACGGCGAGGGGCGGCTCTCGTCGTGCGGCTCGGCTCTGTCCTACTTCCCAGGGCTGCTCGGGCACGGCGAGGGCGTGACGCGGCTGAACACGCCGACCCGCCTCCCTTCCCCGCTGGGCGGCGAGCGCGCCGTGAGCGTGTCGGCTGGAGGTGGGCACAGCCTCTCCCTCGCCGCCGATGGCAGTGTCTGGAGCTGGGGCCGTGGCTGCTTTGGCCAGCTGGGCCAAGGAGACGGGCAGGGCCAGCTGCTGCCAAAGAAGATCGAGGCCTTGGCTGGCCAGCGCGTCCTCGCTGTGTCGGCGGGAAGTGACCACAGTCTCGCCATCACCGTCGACGGCGCTGTCTGGAGCTGGGGCTATGGAGCCTCTGGCATGCTGGGCCACGGCGACCAACAGAACCAGCTGCTGCCAAAGAAGATCGAGGCCTTGACTAGCCAGCGCGTCCTCGCTGTGTCAGCAGCAGCCAGCTACAGCCTCGCCCTCACCGCCGACGGGGCTGTCTGGAGCTGGGGCAGTGGTCTCTACGGCAAGCTGGGCCACGGCAACGGGCAGAACCAGTCGCTGCCGAAGAAGATCGAGGCCTTTGCTGACCAGCGTGTCGTCGCTGTGTCGGCTAGAGGCGGCCACAGTCTCGCCATCACCGTCGACGGCGCTGTCTGGAGCTGGGGCTATGGAGGCCACGGCCGGCTGGGCCACGGCGACCGGCAGGAGCAGCTGCTGCCCAAGAAGGTCGAGGCCTTCACTGGGCAGCGCGTCGTCGCTGTGTCGGCTGGATCCGTGCACAGCCTCGCCCGCACCGCCGACGGTGCCGTCTGGAGCTGGGGCGATGGAGAGGATGGCAAGTTGGGCCACGGCGACGAGCAGAGTCAGCTGCTGCCGAAGAAGGTCGAGGCCTTTGCTGGCCAGCGTGTCGTCGCTGTGTCGGCTGGAGCGCACCACAACCTCGCCATCGCCGCCGACGGGGCAGTCTTTACCGGGGGCAAGGGCGAGGACGGCTGCCTTGGCCACCGAGAGGACCTGTCGAACCAGCTGCTGCCCAAGAAGATCGAGGCGTGAGCGCAGGGGTAGTTAGCTAGAGACTGAGAAGGTGGGTGCAGCAGCGGTGGCGGCGGAACGCGGAAGCCGCGGCGGAGCGAGGTAGGAGGCGAGACGAGGCCGCAGGATTGAGAGCACGAGGAGGAGGTATCGGATATCGCGGAATTCTGCCCCGCATACGTCAGGGTATCGGTGCGCGCGCGTTGCGTTTTGACGAAAAGAAGAAGAAAAATCAACCCTTCGAGAAGGGAGAAGTGTGACGGACTGACGGTCACACGGTCTTACACCGAGGATCGCTCCTCTTACGCCGCGCGCTAACGTATGCACTACGCGAGCACGTTAATCCGCGAAGCTAGATGAATCAGACCCGAGCTTGCCTCGAGGAGATTGCGTGAGCAGTCGTCGCCTCTGTCCGCGGTCGCACCCGCCCACCGCCCGACCCAAGGCAGCGCCCCCGCATCGCCGGACGCCTCAGCGGCCGCCGACCGCGATGCCGAGGAAGTTGCCCGCGAGGCCTCCGACCATCACGAAGAGGCCGACCAGCAGCGAGACGGCCGAGCCGGCCAGTCGCAGGCTGCGCGGGATCAGCGGGTCGTCGACGCGGAACTTGAGGTCGACGAGGGCGGGGAGGATGTAGATGATCATGCTCGCGCACACAGAGGAGGTCACGCCGAGCACAAGCGCGAGCGAGAGCGGCAACACGGCAAGAAAAGTTGCGCTGCCGACGAGCGACGCGGAGAGCAGCACGCGCCCAAACAAGCTCGAGACGCCGGCGCCGACGGTTCGCCTGGCCACGAAGAAGCGCATGGGCAGCGCGAGCGACAGCTGCGCCGCCAGAGCGCCGCGCGCGAGCCGCACCAGGACCTCGACGGTGGTGCCCAGCGCCGCGGCGCCGCCGAGCGAGTCGAGGATGTTTGGCTCCGTCTCTTCGCAAAACATGCCGTAGCCGTACGCCGCGATGAGCACGTAGTTTGCCTTGGGTCGTCAACACGAGGAGGGTCGGGGCGGGGGTGCGGTCTCGTGCCGCGTACTCCGAGCCGCGAGAGCACACCGCGGCTACGAATACAGCTGACTACCACCGAGTGCGTGCCCTCTCGAGGGTTTTGTCGAAGGACACGCGTCTGCAGTCCAGCATCTAGTGCGGCTTGCGAGGATGACCGCGTTGCTGCCGGCGATGAGGCTGGCGTACCGCACCTGCGCGAGTCCAGGCGGAGGCGCGCGCCCGTGAGCGCGCGCGGCCCCTCTCCGCGTGCGTCCCTTGGCGGCAGGGGAAGAGAGCGGGCGCGTCCATGCGGGGGCGCGGAGAGCCGCGCGAGCAGAGGCGCGGGGGCGGGCACGGGGCTAGGCACGGGGGCGGTGAGGCATCCTAGGCGGCTGCCGGCCGCCGGTCCTTGAGCGTGCACAGGATGGGGATGTACGCCCACGACGAATTGAGCGCAAAGGAGAGGAGCGGGAGGGAGGCCGCCTGCGGAGCGACTCACCACGGTCAGCACGACCCACCACGACCCACCACGACCCACCACGACCCACCACGGCCCACCAAGACTCACCACGACCACCACGACCCACCACGGCCAGCACGGAGTGTCTCGGTGGTCACGGTGTGTGCGGCGCGACTCGGCGCAACGCATGCACACACGGGCTATCACAACGCGTGAAACGCACAGATGAGCACAGTGGGACGCGCGCTCGAGTGCTGGCTGGGGTACCGCCAGGCACACCGCGTTGCGCATCTAGAGACGCCGCCAGCGAGGTCATCGACGAGGGAAGCCAGCGCAGCGAGCCAGTCCCGCCAGCGTCGCTGCCCGCCGGGCCTCGGCAGACCGCCGCGCCGAGGGGCGCCTCCCAGGACCAGCGCGTGGAGAGGAGCACGACGACGGTGATGAAGATGGCGGCGGCGCAGCTGGCGGGAGGGAGCAGCGGCGAGGGGTGGGTGGGTGCTGCTGCCGCCGCGAGTGTTGCTGCTGCTGCTGCTTGCCGCTGTGGTGGCGGAGGCATTTGAAGCGATAGTAGTACTGGGCGATGGTGGTGTTGGGCGATGGTAGGGTTGGTCGTGATGGTCGTGCTGGGAGGGGGGCGTGCGGTGGCACACCCGAGCGGCGCGGTCGGCTTGAGTGCGGACAGGTCCTGGCGGGAGGAGAGCGCAAAGTGAAGTGGAATGGCCAGGAAGGGTCGGATGAGTCTCTAGGAAGGTCCTTGCAGGAGGAGAGCGGGAAGATGAAGAGGGTGGCGACCGCGGTCAGGCACAGCCCGCCGTCCAGTCCGGTGAGCGAGCCGAGCTCGCCCTTGAGGATGACCTGCAGGACGGTTCCGAGAAGGTTCGGGGGACAGTCCTGAAGAAAAAGCGCTTCCGAGGTCTCGCGAACCAGGAAGGAGAGGGCGCCGCCCCAGGCGTACATGGCCAGCAGCGCCGCGCACACCGTGCTGCCCAGCCTCCCCAGCACCCGCGTCACCAGTTCGGCGTATGACTCGATGCAGGCCGGCGGACCGCCCGGCGGGTCGGGTCGAAAATGGAGCTCGTAGACGGAGAGGGTGTAGCACGAGTGGATGGAGAGGACACCGAAGGCGAGCAGCGCCACGAGGCCGAACCCAAGCCCCAGCTGGCTCAGCGCGTACGGCAGCACCAGCTGGCCCGCGCCCAGCACCGCTAGGACCAAGTTGGCCACGCAGCCGCCGAGTCCCACGCTGCAAACGTGCTTCGCCTGGTCCGCGGCACGCCCGCCGTGGTGGTCGTCGGCCACGTCGACAGCGTGGCAGCCTTCCTCGCCGGCCGGGAGGAGGGGCGCGGAGTCTACCGGCATTTGCGCGCTGTACCCGAGTACAAGGCCATCAAGCGGGGGCCCCCTCGGGACTTTCAGGGTTCGGGACTTGCTTGGATGGGAACGGCGTACAGGCCCCAGCCCCAGTGGCCACATCGCATACGCACCCGCATTTTGAGGGAGACCCACGCGCACCTACCTCTACACCGACCACACCCTATTGCACTGCACGAACGCTGAAGTAAGTGTGAAGAGAGCCGCCGAGCCGCCGCCCGCCTGGCCCAGGGCGAGAAGAGAAGCCCTTTTCGCAACGTACTGCGGACTGTCGTTGATTATATAAGGTTCGACCCGGAAGGCGGATGGTTCCCCGCGCACACCGGCGCGGCAACGAGAACACGAGGCAATCCGGGGAGCCTGGCCACAGACACACATACACACACACTATACAGAGTTAGGTGTGGTGAATGGCTTAGCGGCCGGAGGAGTAGTAGTCCTTGCCGGAGCCAACGTTGCCCACCTTCTTCTTGATGTAGTCGGACTGGTAGTAGGTGCCCGCCTTCTGCATCTTCTCGCGCTGCGACCGCAGGTTCTTGACGTTCTTGGCCTTCTTGGCGTTCATGTCGTCGCGCTCCGCCTTGAGGTAGGCCGGGTTGACGTTGCCGCTGGGGAGGAAGATGGGCACGCCATATTTGGACTTGCCCTCCGCCTTCTGGAACCTCTGGATGAAGTTGCCGAAGCCATACGACTGCTCCTGCAGCTTGTCGCCGCCACCGGGGTAGTTGGAGCCCGGCGACAGCGGCTTGGCCTTGCCGGTGATCCTGGCCGTCGGATTCATCACCGCCGTGTTGCCTCCGAACTCGGACAGGAAGGCGCGGCCGCCCGCTGGCGCCTTCTTTGCAGGCGCAGCACGGGGCGTCGAGGCGCCGCCGCGGTCGGGTGCCGTCTTGGCGGCGAGGTCCTTGAGGAAGTTCATCTGCGGAGCGTCGAGGCCGCGGGCGAGGCCCGAGGGAACGCCAGCCGGAGCGACGAAGGAGGACGTGGAGGAGGCGAGAAGCGCGAGCATGGCGGGATCGATCAGATTCTGGGGGACAGAAAGCAGGGACACTACGCGGAATGCTAGGAAATTTCCCGCTCTGATTCCACTGGGTGTGTGTGTTGTAAAGAAAGAAAGAAAAAAACTGACAAAGTGTGTGTTGTTGGCAAGTCAAGAAAGTCGCGAAGTTTCTTTGTGTGTGCCCTGCGCGCCGCCACAACACCAGTCCAGCGCCAGGATTCTACCATCACCGCGATGAAGTACCCACTGGCCGCTCCGGTCCTCCTCGCCTCCGCCGCCGCGTGCATACTCTCGGGCTCGCTCCACCCGCCGATCGCCGGCGCCGCTCTCGGCTGGGGAGCGCCAGCCTGCTTCCTCGCCACCAACCTGGTGATGATAGCCGCCTCTGGCAACCTCTCTCTTTCGTCGGCGGTGCTCATGCTTGCGAGTCTGCTCGGCCTCGCCAACGCCGCGTGCCGCGACCTCGCCTTGCCAGACCTCCTCGCCGACGGATGCGGAGCAGCGGCCGCGCTCCCGCCGCCCGTGCGTCCCCTGCTTGCGCTCGCCGGCCCCGCCCTCCTCGTGCTGCGCCACGGCTTCGCCGACCCCGTCCTCACCACCTGGCTGGCGGCGAGCGCCGTCGGCGTCGTGCCCGCGCTGCCGGTCGAGATTCGGGAGGTGCTTTGGCAGCCGGGTGTCGTCAGCGGCGCGCTCTCTCTCCCCTCTCTCTGCACAAAGAGACGCGGTCCCGGGACGGCCTGGCCACTCACTCGTCAGCGCGTCCTCCTGGCTGCCAGTCCGTCAGATCCGCCTCTTAGCGCTATTGAGCAACGCGGCAGAGAGGCCGAGGACGGACACACACACGGCGACAAGGCGACACCGGGACGGGGCAGCCACACATGCGAACCGCCGCCCGTCTGCAGAGCTTCGAGGTCCGCCCTCGCGTGGCAACCGCTCGGCCGTCGCCGCTAGGCGCTCTCACCCTCGCCTGCGCCTGCTTCATGCTCCGCACGCGCGGGCCGGTGCCGGGGGCGCTGCACGCGCTGCTGACGTGCGTGGCTGCGGCGATGCTCGGGCCGTGCCTGCATCACCTTCTCGACCTCGCCCACCTCGCGCAGAGGGTGGCGGACCTCGGCAGCCACGCCCCAGAAGAATGCTGGACAGAGCGAGCGAGGGGCCAGCCTGACACGTCCTCCAACCACTACCATGCCGTTCCCATAGCCACCCCCCCACACCCCAACCTCAACCCCATCCCTGACCCCGACCCAGGCCCGCCCTTCCCCTACCCTCGCCCAGGCCGTCCCTTCCCCTACTCTCACCCGGACCCGGACCCGCACCCCAGGCCCGCCCTTCGACGCGATGCCCATGCCGTGGGCGGTGGCGGTCTGTGCGACCGAGACGCTCGGCTCGCTGCTCATCGTGCTCCGGCTCGCGCCGCGCGCAGGCGCCCCGACGCTGGCCTGTGCCTCCCACCACACACAGGCCCTGCACAAGCCTCCCACCACACACACGGGCCGCTGGACGGGCGCAGGCACGGGCCCGTCCCTCTCAGAGTCGCGAGTCGCCTCCCTCCCGCCGCCCCACAGGGGCGCTCCTCCTGCTCCCGAAGATGGCCGTCGCGACGTGGGGCCACGCCTTTGTCGAAGGCTTCGACGCCAAGTTCGCCGCGTCGTACGCCAACGCGTTCACGCCGCCGGGCCTCTCGTACAACTGGTCGCTCGGCGCGTCGTGGGAGTGCGGCTTCTTCGGTGCCGGCTACTTCCTCCTCGCCTACGCGTCCATCCTGCTGCTGCCGCCCGCGACGGGCACGCCCAAGGCCAAGAGCAAGACTGCGTAACGAGAAGCACGCACGCTGCGGGGCTCCTTTGTGTTTTGTGGACCGCTGCCACACTTGCGCGTTGGGCAGCGGGGGCCCGCCCGTGAACCCTCTCTATGACTGCAGAGCTGAGAGCGCCTGGCACGGCCTGGATGTGCTATTTGGGGTAATCGGGCGGAGCGTAGATGAGCAGGAGTACATTTTATTTCCGTCCAATTCCGTACGTTTGTGTGAGAATATGCAACGAGACACATATGATGTAACCACGTGGATCTGGATGTAACACACACCGCACACTCACGATCTCGATCGGACACAACACATCGATGCGAAGGACACAACTAAATTCCATCTGCGACTCTCGCTCGCGCCTCTACTGCACTTCAGCAGGCCAAAGAGACCGCTCCGGACCGGGGAAGTTGACCTCGTCGCTGTACCACGGGCGGGCGTACACAAAGTACTGGATCGGCCTCCGCACTGCGCTGCAGTTCGCGCCTCCCGCGTGGAAGAGGCGGTAGTCGAAGAGAATCGCATCGCCGGCGTCGGCCTCGAGGTGGGCGGCGGCGCCGGCGCCGGCGGACGAACCCGCTTCGTCCGCCTCGGCCGCCATCGCCGCCGCTGTCGCGCCGTGGTGCGAGCCGGGCAGGAAGGCAGTCGGCCCGTTCAGCCCTCTCCGCAGGTCGACAAGAGGCACAAAGACTGTGAGGCAGTGCGCGGGAAGCGTCGCGCGCGGCAGGCCGCCCAGCAGCCCGTGCTCCTCCCACACGGCGCGAGGCACGGGAGGCGCGTCCGCGTGGAACCGCTGCGCCGCGGTGCCCGGCTCGGTGACGACGAGCCCGCTCCACAGCAGCCGCGCGTCGCCGCCGAGCACTCTCCTTACCAGCGGCAGCCAGGCGCGCCCGCCGACCTCGCCCACGGCCGCGAACGGCTCCTCGTCCAGCTGGTACCCTCGCAGGTCCACCCGGCCGGGACCGCGCTGGCACGCCTCGTGGAAGCGGAAGCCCACCTGTGGGCAGTCGGGATCCCCGCCTCGACGCCGCACGCCCCGCCGCACTTCGGCCGCGAGCGCACTCGCCGCCGCGCCGCCACGCGCCGCCAGAGAGGGTGGAACCGCTCGGCGGATGGCGCAGACGCCTGCAAAGTCGAGCAGAGCCGCGCCGTACTCCGTCTCCGCCGCTGGCACCTCGAGTGCCTCTGCCGAGGTGAGATCCCACGGGAGGAGCCCCGCGAATGGGTCGGCCGCGCCGATCGCCGGCCGCGGGGCGCCGATCAGCCGCACGGATACCTCCTCCAGCGCGGCGAGTGCACGGGCGACGGCCGTGCGCATTATCAGATCGCTCGGCGCATATCAGATCGCAGGGCAGGCAAGATACGCCCTGCAATTGCGAGATCCAGTGCTGGCTCAGAGGCACGCGAGGCGGTACCGAGCAGCGAGTGTAGAGTGCGAGTGTGCCTCGCGCGCGGGCGGGCAGCGCCCCGTGGCGGGAGCGAGCAGAGCCCGGTCTCTTGGAGCAGAGCCCGGCGAGCCCTCGAAAGAGCTACCCAATGGGTCCCTCGAGAGGGTACCCTGGGTGGGCGGGGCCTCTCGACTCGCAGGGGCGGGAGCTAAAAAAATAAACAAAAAAGAAAATACCGCGTTGTCTGGGCTTGCAGCGCGCTGCTTGGGCTGGTCGCGCTGCTGTGCTGCCACCATGAGCCGAAGGTACGATTCGCGGACGACAATCTTCTCGCCCGAGGGGCGGCTCTACCAGGTCGAGTACGCCATGGAGGCCATCTCGCACGCCGGCACCGCGCTCGGCGTCCTTGCGAGCGACGGTGTGCGCGAGAGAGCTCCTTCTCGCTGTGTCGCTGTGCTGCGGCCGCTCGCACATCACCACACGCTCGTCGCGCGCGCCGCCGAGCACGCACCGCCCGGCTGCCGCAGGCGTCGTCCTCGCTGCCGAGAAGAAGATCAGCTCCAAGCTGCTGGAGCCGTCAAAGAGCTCCGAAAAGATGTGAGTTGCGCCCGCCTCGCACCGCGCCAAGCGTCGCCGGCCGCTCCTTCCCCCCTGCCGACTCCCACCCCTCCCGCCCCTCCCTGCGTCCTATCCGCCGCACACTTGTCCGCCATGCTCTCCCCCCTCGCCCGCTCCCAAGCCCGAACCGCGCTCTGGAACGGCCCCTCACAGCCAGCGCCGTGTGGCCGCAGGTACATGGTGGATGACCACGTGGCCTGCGCGGTCGCGGGCATCACTGCCGACGCCAACATCCTCATCAACCAGGCCCGGCTGCACGCGCAGCGCCATCTCTACAACTACCAGGTGCCTCTCCCGCACCGCCCACTGGCCAAAAGACAGGCCAAGAGACAGGCCAAAAGACAGACCAGACTGCTCTCTCCGTCACCGGAGCAACCGCCAAACACCGCCCTCGCCGCCGCCCCCGCCCGCCGCCGCCCGCCGCTGCCCGCCCCTGCCCGCCGCCGCCCTCTCTGCCGCCGCGTTGGCGCCGCCGCGCGAGCCGGCGCCTCGCACAGCCTGCGCCAGCCTGCGCCTCCCGCCGCCACCGCTGCCGCCACCGCTGCCGCCACTGCCACCGCCGCCACTGCCGCCGCCGCCTCCTCCGCCTCCGCCTCCGCCGGCTCCTCCGCCGCCCAACACGCGTCGCAATCCGCTTCTGCCGCGCTGCCGCGCATTGGCCCTGGCTCCCAGCCGCCTGCCCCAGCCGCCTGCCCCGCCGCCTGCCCCCGCCGCCTGCCCCCGCCGCCTGCCCCCGCCGCCTGCCCCCGCCGCCTGCCCCCG